GCTGAAGAAGTTCAAAAGAAGTAGAAATGATGAGTATGTTAAACATCTTCTTAATTTAAAGAAGAAAATTGTGATGACGAGCGTTAGCGTTAGTTTAACAGATTGACATTTTCACTAATTTCACATTCCACAACCTCCGTACACCTAAAATATGAAGCAAAACACGAATTTATGAAAGATAATTTTATATATTATTATACACCGATTATATTAATACTAAGTAAAGTTCTCATACAATTAAAAGTATTTGTAGTACACAGCTGGTCTTTATATTGACGCCGTATGCATGAATAGACCTCATAAGTTGTCCAGCATTAGAGGATTACACGCAAATTTCAAGATAAACTCTGAAACACCCATACTGTTTAGACGTCATTCTCTCATCGATTTCATACTGAATACGTCTACATTAAATGAGGTATTGCAAATGTGTAGCTTTGAAATCGATCCACAATCTCAGTAATATCTAGTGAGCATAGTTTTCTGAGTCCTACAGAGATTACATTCTCATATTTAGGAATCTGTAGTCATCAAATATAAGCTGAACATGCCTCAACTGCAAGCAACTATGCACAGTGTTAACAACATAGGGAAACACTTAAAACAATGTAAGATACGCAGACCTGTTGTGTTGATGAGGATAACAATGAAATATAATGCAACCTAGACATTCAATCGTGATACTGCATCTGTACTGTCTCAGGTATATGGAAATTTCAGAAGAAATCCATCTCCACTATTGGTGATCAAAAACATTGCAGTATTAAGTTCACAGTATCAGACGGTATACCGTCTATAGATTAATAATAACAGAGCTAACTAGATTTAATTCTCGTAATCAAGACAAAGAATGTGTATATTATTACTTTACACTGAACAATTTTACTAAGTGAATCAGTGAGGAGAAGTAAATGAGTTATTGCCTTCTCAAATGCACTGCACTTGGAAGAATCACGAGAACCACCTAGGTTTGTTAGCCTAGCAGCAGCTACGCACACAATGGCACAATATTAATAAAGGTATCTTTGATACAGTGAAATCACATAGCGCCAATCAGTGTAAATATATATTAAATCCACTTAGAGATAACCTTTCAACTTACCATTATTCCTGTCCAAATACTCACACGGTGAAAGACACATCTACATCATAACTTCTGTTTCCACAGGGGGTTCTGTTGTTATTCGGAGGTGTTTCCCATGTATTGATAGCATTCTTTTGCCAAATAGTACTATTCTTCACACGAAAATAGCCACATTTAGACGTGGTCCTCATTGAATGATATTATGTCGAAAGCTGCAGCTTCTACAAGAAGTAAACTATTTGTGTAGACGACACTACTCTTCAACTACCCCATCTTTTTCATTATACCGATGTTTTAACTCATTCAGCATGAAAAACTAATCGTTACAATCCATACGCTTAGAGTGGGCAGCCTGTAGACGACTGTAATTTTTAGTGACCGCGAATGAGATAAACAAGCGATTCGCTAGCTTGTAATTGGCCAGTTTGTCATTCGAGTTGAGGTAATTTCAAACATCATTTTGCTGCTTGGTTAAGTCCTGAATTTCCGTGAGCGTTTTATCAAATTGGAGAGATAACTGACAACACAAATTATTACAGCTCAGGAAAGAAATGATATGGCAGTGGATTTATTTGCTGAATTCAACGAATTCATGCCAAACTAAGATCTAACCCAGCTAGCATTTTTTTCGGGCGCATTGCAGACTTTTCGGGGCAGACTTAGGGCAAATTGCAGACTTTTTGGGGCAGACTTCGGGACAGTGTCCCACGTAAGTAGATTTACCCGAAGTTTTTTGCCCCAAAAATTCTGCAATGCGCCTGAAGAAAATGCTAGCTGGGAAGGACTTCTCAGGAATCTCAAGAATGCAAACAATGTCCTGAAGAGGTAATAACTTCACGCAACTTCAATTATCGCTTGACCATTATTTTCAGAGATCATTAAATAAGTATAATATACACAGTGGTCTGGCTAATAATGATAAAAACGGCATGGCTGATGCAGCATATACGTATACTTTTGTATATGTAGGTAAACCTACATGAAGTGTGTTCTTGTCACGAAGATCGGAAAGCAGGTACCAGATGTCTCAGTAAGCAGTGTAATACATGTAAGTTACGTGTTTTTATTTGACATAAACTGGATCTCCACTCACTTTAAGAATTATTCTTAAATTCATTTGGAATAAGCTTGTTGAGCATATCAGTATTGAGAGAATACAGTGAAAGTAGGTAAACACATGCTTCTTAAGATTAAGTGCTATATTTATTTGATATGATTGTATTATTTTTAGGTGTTGTCAATCACGTCTCATAAACCGTTAATGCCCAGCTCTCGCTACGCTCGGGCCCACGCTGTTCTTCGAAGATTTCAGAAACGCTTAGTTATAACGGACGAAAAAACCAAAACACCGATCTGCCGCTTGTTATTTATTTATCGTTACACCAACATATAAAAGGAATAAGCGAACTAAGGTCTGAAAACAAATATTACAATAATAAATCATTGTATAACTTCTGACGATGTTTCACTCTTCTTTCTGAACAGCGACCAATGAGACGATGACTGTCGTATTGATGCCTCCGCGAAAATTGGGGAAGTTGATTTTGAGCAAACAACCAAGAATTGATCATTCAATCTTCAACTCCATTGACACTCCCCGGCAAAATACGGATCCATCCCTTTCTTCCTTCACGACCAATACACGTTGACTTGGATGCCATTGCGAGAACCTGGGTCACACGGACAGAGCTGAAATGGAAAACAAACAGAAAAGCCAACACACCACAAGCATACCACCACAGCACAATCTCACACATCAATGACGACCTGCGCCTCCAGACAGAGACCTCCTCTTGACATCTTGCAACACAATCGCCACTTGCTAGAATGACTCTTGCAGAAGGCAACGTGACCATAGCAGCACCTCATGATACTCTACGCACATCCTCTTATCTACTCGTTACCAAATACCACTGCAATCGCTTGTCACTCATTCTGCCTCAGTTCTAGTAGCGGTGATGCATGCGAGCCTCAGCCGTTTACACTCTTTCTCCCCGGCGTGTCGGACCACAGCTGACAATTATCTCCGTGTGCATTTCATTCTCAACAATAGCCTACCCAGCGTATACGACCCATCTACTGTATTTAACATCAATCAATTCATTCACGGATGTAGAAGACTAGAAACAACTTCAGACGTCAGCACGACGAAAATTTTAACAAAATTACGCAATAACAACAAGGTACGAAAACAACGAGTCAACACAATGAATCCAAAAAACACCAATTGATATGACACAGCACACATATATACAAACAGTACACACAAACTCGCGGATCATGTCTTGATGGAATTCCTTGGAAGGATTGCAGGACTTACACGAGTACGCCTACAACCCTTCTCAGGTTGACGATTGTTATTTGTGGAATGTCCGGACACACACAAGATTAACCAACAATTGCGATAATTGGAACTCACACAACTATTTAACACAAACATATGTACAATCACTACATCAAATGTTGTGGATTCTGACACGACAAACTACTCTTGAAGAACTGTAGGACTTACAGCAGTACGCCTACATTCCTTCTCAGGTTGATGATCCAAGTGGAAGTCGTCCGGACACAAACAGAATTACCAACAGATAGATGAAAGATGATATCAATTCAGTATATACAATATGAACATATGTACAAAATCACACACCGAGCACATTGGGCTGCTCATTGATGCGCTACCCTTTGGAGAATTGTAGGACTTACAGCAGTACGCCTACAACCCTTCTCAGGTTGACGCCCTAGGTTGGAAAATCGTCGCAGAGTTCATTTGCTGACTTCCTTCTATCAGGTATATCCTCAAATCTGAACGGCAACACGCCCATGTCATTGTATCGTAGAATATAGATGACCAACAAACACACGACATATCTCATCAACCTAGTGTAGAAACAGAGTAATTTACACCAAAGATAATAACATTCAAATAGTAACTTGAAACTAGAAATGCCTTTATTCGTGCAAGTCAATTTAACAATTACTCTCTCGTTTACACTTGGCTTATCCTCACTAAACTGACCATTGATATTCGTCCTTTCAAACGAACTGATACTAGCATAGTCATTGCACAAGATACTTGAGATGATGGGCGTCTGTTTCATTGTGGATGACAGCACCAACGACGACTGATCGATATCAGTTGATGAAGTTAGCGGTGGATCAAAAGCTGTTGTTGCTCGACTTTCAGAAAGTTGTCTACCTGCAAGACCACCACCACTGCCGTCTTTTACTATCAGCTCAGGCTTAGCACTGGCATCTGATGATAGGTGGGCTTCACTCTGGTCAATTACACTGACGGTCTCACAAGTATGCGTGCCTTCTGCAACTGAATCTGCATTTATTTCCACTTCACGTTCAAGTTGTACAGAACCTTTGTTCAACTCAGCAGTAGTAGGCATATCTATCATCTCATCATGATCAACCAAAGACAAATCTGCACTATCATGATCATTATCACGAATATTCACTTTACCGTCAACTTCATCATTTTCAAACTCTTTAATAACAGAAGTAGACAATTTTGGTTCCTCCTCGCAAATCCTAAAAGGTCTTATATCTTCACTCTGACTAGTTTTAATTTGTAAACTTGTGGAGTCAGAACTGCACTCTGAAGCAGTAACTCTATTCTGTGACACTCTATTCAACAACGGCTTACCAGTTGCAACTACAGACTTATTCACAACACCGTTATCGTCACACAATTCGGAGTCAGACCTGGAGTTTACATTTAGCTCATCACTGAACTTGCTCACCGGTTCACAGTTCACTTCTGTATGCACCTCTTGCACACGTGTAAAACACAACCGTGTTTTTCTTGCATCTTGTAACTTATCTGTTGAGGATGTACTACGATACCTGTTACACTCACTAGATCTATATGCATTACCAGACATCATGGAGCCTTCTCGATATCCACCACTCTGAGGCCCTTTCGTCATCAATGATTGCGTTTTACGCTCAGACTGCTCTATTCTAGTGGTGAGATGTAGTAGACTAGCGAACTTGCTCATAGATTGATTGACACTAGTATTTACCAGTTTCAGGATATCATCAAACTTTGGCTCCATACGGGATCTTATCTTCACCCACTTCCTTTGCAGTCGAGTAGGTAGACGTCTTGCTATTACTTCTAGTATAAAACTCTAGTTGAGGTCACTCATGTGATTCATCGAAATCATTCCATTCTTGTAAATTAGCAAATTATCCAAAATCTCAATAAGTGCCTGGGAGTCATCCTGTAATTGACCACCATTACCCTTTACAGCCTCGAATAATTTCCCTACAATCATTGAAGGTCTTCCAAACCTTTGACGTAGTATGCCCATAGCCTCAGCGTATCCCTCATTAGGGGTCATGAGCTTACAGCACTGTATAGCTCTTGCAGCATCTCCAGTGCAATACCTCATCAAATACATTAACTTCAATTCATCATTTAATAAAAAACCACTCAACATGATCTCAAACGCCTTAACAAACTGTAAATAATCGGCCGGGTTTCCATCAAAACACCGTGGTTCTAATTTAGGGAGTTTGATGTTCCTATTATCCCTGAACGGCGAAACAGTAATATCAACCATGTCATGCTTAACATCAGACACATCGTTACAAGTAACATACAAGTCACCATGACTTACTTTTTTTGTTTGCTTCCAAGACACTCTGTCCCTTCTTTGACCCAGGCATTGTTGAACTTGACCCAATTCCAAAAATGTTCCAGATATTGCTTGTTCAAAGAGGACTTGACCGGCACCAGGAAAAATGAACGGCGACTATCCAAACTTTCACCAACTGTTTGAATCCGCCAGATCTGTTTCTGCCGTCAGAAACTGTCAGCCACGTCTCATAAACCGTTAATGCCCAGCTCTCGCTACGCTCGGGCCCACGCTGTTCTTCGAAGATTTCAGAAACGCTTAGTTATAACGGACGAAAAAACCAAAACACCGATTGGCCGTTTGATATTTGTTTATTGTTACACCAACATATAAAAGGAATAAGCGAACTAAGGTCTGAAAACAAATATTACAATAATAAATCTCTGTATTACTTCTGACGATGTTTCACTCTTCTTTCTGAACAGCGACCAATGAGACGATGACTGTCGTATTGATGCCTCCGCGAAAATTGGGGAAGTTGATTTTGAGCAAACAACCAAGAATTGATCGTTCAATCTTCAACTCCATTGACAGTTGTCTATCTAAGTTAATGGTGAATTCGTTGCAATAATAATACCTTTTATTTTTTTTATTGTCACTATGAGCATGAATATTATTATTAGTGTCAAGACCTATTATTTGTCTTAAAGTTGTCATTTTTGCAAAAATATTTGTACAAGCTTTGAAAGCTCCTGCATAACTTGTCGTCAAATAATTTTATCATTTCATGATGCTTCGATGGACCTACTAGATATCGATAAATGATAAGCAATAATAATAATAATATATATTCTCATATAAACATATAAATTTACATGAAAATGCATGCCATTTTTACAGGCACGATCAAGTATGATATAATATCAAATGGTAGATTGTCTACAAGTTAATAATGTTTCAACAGTTAAATATTTGATAGATATATATATACACATTGTCTGAACTAGGCTGTATAGTTATTGAATTGTACAGTTGTCCTCCAGGTTGAGCGGGAAAATCGACTTCGTTTCGTTTTCATCCCTTGGTTGTCGGCATACGATAACCAACCAATATTGAGGTAAGTACAACGTTTACAACGGATTGTAAGCTGTTTTTAGAAAAGTAAAAGTGCTAAGGTGAATCAGTAAAGTGTAATGAAATGGGTAAGTGCAAGTATCACTAATAAATGCATTAATATAGAAAACTCACTAGGTTGACAACGTTCATTTGCAATGTATAATGCTACGCGTATATCTCGTACTATCATGATGTCCACTTTTGGTTTTAATACATTTTTTCCTTATGTCTGTTTTTTATTTTATGCTTTTTTGTGCATTTGGTGCACAACCGTACCTCACAGAGAATAGGAATAGAATAAGTCGAATCAAATTCATAAAGAGCTATAAAATGTTAGGTTTAATGGGATACAATGAGGATTAAGTAAAGACGTTATTAGAAAATGAATCCGATAAGACATTGTGAAGTGGTATTTAAAGATCCGACAATGGACAGAAAGTTGATTTATAAGATGCCCCATAAATCTGTGCAGACCCCACATGGTCGCATCTCAACAATAGGCTGAGCGAATGGTATATATTTAAAGGTAGAAGCATTATCTGTCAAGGCGTTCACTATTATCTTTTTCAAGATAAAGATCTAAGCCCTCCTAAAAATCAGAAATATCTCGAGCCTTTAATTTGTATATTGCTGTTCCTGCAGAATGGGGCGATTCACCTTAGTGACCCCCACCATATCTACTGATCAGCTAACGCCACCCTCCCTCCTTTTTTGATGTTAAGCTCTGAGAATATGATTATTATGGCTACCGCAAATATACAGCTTGGTACCAGACATGTTCGTACCCCATATTCCATCTCCCTAGCTTTCTTAATGAGTGCTTCCAATAGGTCTCCACATACATCTTTATGGACATTATATATGTATGCATGCGTCCTAATGAACAGATTACTTTACAATAAGTTAAAACCTTAAAGAATAAAAAGAATAGGTTTTGTCAATAGTGAAGCAAGATTCAGCAGAACAATATAGTTAGGGATCAATGTAGGTAGTATGAACTGAAGGTAAGGTCGGTTGGCAGGACTTAGTGTACTAAATTATCATGACAGTCTTGTATATAGTAGACATCTGACATTGCAAAGTAACGTGTCTAAACATATTATAAAAGATATTAACAGAAATACTACATAGCTTTAACATTATGAATTTTAGAAAATTATATGAGAATGGGTAACTGTTGACTGAAGATAATCAATTCAACTCAAAAATAGTGCAGTGTATTATGCTAATAATATAAGTATATTCGTAAAATATTAAAAGATATGGTTGCTAATGTGATGGTTTTCGGAAATAATTATACTGACGAACTTATTGAAGATTACAGTGAAGAGGAAACCAGTGAGTTAGTTAAACGGCTACTGTGCAGTTAGTAGTTAAAACGTCTTTTTTAAAAAGTAAAGGGTAGAAGGGTTTTGAGCACCGGAGCAAATTAAGTCATATTCTACTGAGTGGAGTGTAGTGAATAGTGGTACGATTAGGGATAAGGGTAGGTTGAATGAACTTGGGGAAAATGGTTGGTTGGTTGAGTTTGTTATTGCTAGGTATTCCTGGCCACTTTTCATATGGCATGCTTTAGACATTACAAAGTACCAGTTTGCTTATATTATGGGAGAACTATCACAACTAATTTGGGAATATACATCCAGGAGAGTCTAATGAGTTTATAAACCCGATTGAAGAAATATCGATAGGATCTCTAGTAAGCTGAATAACCGGACCTTAGGGAAAGGCATGTGGGAGAGATTAGGTTGGTTTTATTACGTTATAGATGAGGTACGGTTGCCGGGGCAAATGAGTTTCCTCAAATTGGGGGTATTGCACTGGGGTCTGTAGTACCAAAGCTAGTTGAGCGGCCCATATGGATAAAGTATGGATAAGTAGACCGAAGCTCTTTTGTTGATAGGAACGCGTTAAGTAGACGCTGGAATTCAGTAGGAGATCGGCAACTACGTACAGTAAGTGGAAGTTCGTTCCATAATGCACTGTACTGTATTTTAAAGAAACGTGATCGCAGTTTTGTCCGGAATCGGCTTATGGATAGAGTATTTTCATGATTCATTGCGAAGTCCCTCAAGTTTAGTGAAAACTATTGGGCTACTTATATATATATTGTTTGTAAAGTGATTACTTGTAAATGCTTATCGGGAAAATTTTTTTATTCAGATCATACATGTAATACCCAAGTTAATTATGCTTTTCTTAAATCTTTTCAGACTTATGGCAAAACATATATGTGCCGTGTACGCAGATGGAACTTACTGACGGTAACAGAGGACTACTCATCTGAATTATCTGTACATTTGAAATCTGATTTTTGTTTAATAAACAATTTCTCAATGAATCTGTCTTCCTTCTGTTGTAATGCGATTGTTTTCCAGTAACATAAGTAGCACGTGCTAAGTTAGAAGTTGAGGGTAAACTGTTAGGAGTCAATGCGGCGTCTGGAAGACTTTTGTTTACGTGATTATACGAGCAGATAGCAACGTATCGTGTTATTTGGCTGAGAACCCTAGGCATTCTGTTTTTAATTATTACAATGACCGTAGTTGCACTGAGTCATACATCTAACAGCGCAGGTATAGTCTCTCCTTATGGTACGCTGCGGCATGCCAAAATCACAAGCAAACTATCTCAGGTAGATTTACTCTCACTTTGTGACTATGAATCGCGAATCAGTATATGTATTCTGCTAAGACGATAGATAACTCGAAACGCTTTATAATCGCAACACCTCCTCTACGATTTAGACATATTTACTTTATTTGACTACAAAATAATGTTTTACCAATAGGCTTCTCTGAATATCTGCTCCTACTTAGTATTTCAAAGATAGCCTCATATACTTTATAACTCACAAATTACACAAGGGCTAATATTCGGTCTTATCAAGTAGAATAAACAAACGAATAACGAGGAATACATTCATTAATGAATTAACATTTAATACAAAATCGACAACAGTGCAGGTATCTTTTTCTTTATCATCCAAATCCATGAAATTCACGAAAGTAGACATTATCTGAAAAAGAACAAAAGAATTATACAGATGTAGACATTGTTATCAGTGTAAACAAAATAATTAACCATGAAATATGTTTGAAACGACGAAATAATTGAATTGTATATAATTACGTCAATAAACATTTTCAATAATACAAAATCGATATTGCATCTGCCTGCAAACGTCAAGTTCATGTCATAAAATTAGGAAATACTATGCGCATATAATTTCTAAGTATTTCTGCAGAATTTTCCTTAAAGAAATACATGTAGAGGAGCCTTGTCAGCATTAGGAAAAGTACACAACAAAGTAGATGAAATAATTACCAAAACGAGCTATCCCACCTCATCATGTCCCTATGTAATCCATTGAAATTCAAAAAAATTCACGAAATGGTCGTTGTCAATGGAGTTGAAGATTGAACGATCAATTCTTGGTTGTTTGCTCAAAATCAACTTCCCCAATTTTCGCGGAGGCATCAATACGACAGTCATCGTCTCATCGGTCGCTGTTCAGAAAGAAGAGTGAAACATCGTCAGAAGTAATACAATGATTTATTATTGTAATATTTGTTTTCAGACCTTAGTTCGCTTATTCCTTTTATATGTTGGTGTAACAATAAACAAATATCAAACGGCCAATCGGTGTTTTGGTTTTTTCGTCCGTTATAACTAAGCGTTTCTGAAAATCTTCGAAGAACAGCGTGGGCCCGAGCGTAGCGAGAGCTGGGCATTAACGGTTTATGAGACGTGGCTGACAGTTTCTGACGATAGAAACAGATCTGGCGGATTCAAACAGTTGGTGAAAGTTTGGATAGTCGCCGTTCATTTTCCTGGTGCCGGTCAAGTCCTCTTTGAACAAGCAATATCTGGAACTTTTTGGAATTGGGTCAAGTTCAACAATGCCTGGGTCAAAGAAGGGACAGAGTGTCTTGGATGCAAACAGGAAAGTAAGTCATGGTGACTTGTCTGTTAATTGTAACGATGTGTCTGATGTTAAGCATGACATGGTTGATGTTACTGTTTCGCCGTTCAGGGATAATAGGAACATCAAACTCCCTAAATTTGAACCACGGTGTTTTGATGGAAACCCGGCCGATTATTTACAGTTTGTTAAGGAGTTTGAGATCATGCTGAGTAGTTTTTTATTAAGTGATGAATTGAAATTGATGTATTTGATGAGGTATTGCACTGGAGATGCTTCAAGAGCTATACAGTGCTGTAAGCTCATGCCCCCTAATGAGGGATACGCTGAGGCTATGAGCATATTACGTCAAAGGTTT